TCATTCCGTTCATATTAGTCAAAACTTATATGTGTGGTTCCGCAATCATATGCACTTATAATGGAAGCCCTAGTGATGCCAGACAGTCGGCCAAACACTTTTGAAGATTGAAAAGTATTTGAGGCCAGTTTTTGAAAACGTAAGCCTGGACTCATCCAACCCCTTAATTGTATAGAAAGTCAACATTAATTAATGATGGTAGTGGCCTTGAAAGCCTTCAGTTAATGAATGTATATACAACTGGACGCTCTGGAACCACTTTGTATGCAACTAAAGTACTCATGTAAAATAGATTAAAGAGATACGTCAACAAGAAAGACGCTATTCATGACTTCTTGTCAAAGCTATACAGCCAAGTCAAGTTGTGCTTTAAAATTGTCATGAAAAACTTCAACATGCGTCATCCATTATACCAGTTAGTTAAATATGTTAAGCTACTTATCAGAAGACGAAGATAGAAGGTGGAAGGTCGCGGCTGTAAAGTAGACTATAATGCACTAGAGGAATTTAGACTTTCATTTAAGAGTGTAGCCACTGAAGTGGAAATGATCGATTTGTAATATATATGTAAAATTTTGGCACCGTGGTAGTATGTAATTCCATTTTAATTTGTTTATTAGATATATCACACAGCGAAACAGTACTATTTACTGCCTGCATGACAAAGTTTCAACACAATTTATTGTTTATAGTCATTTCTTTAGTTGTTAACACAACTTCGAAACTTTCTTTTTATAGTTTTCTTTATTCTTTTCTATTTGTCTTCGGGTAGTAGAGTTTTCCAGATGTCCAAATGAAAAGATGTTGAATCAGTCTCAACAGTTACATGGATTGAGATGGCTAGGTCACGTGCTGCGCATGCCTAACCATCGCCTCCCCCGACGGGCATTACTAGCTGATATAGGTGGTGCAGGTTGGAGGAAAAGAGTAAGTGGTGGCCAAACAAAAACATGGCCTCATCAATCCATGAAATCCTTGACAATTAAACTGAGTCAGGTAGGGAGGGAGATGCAGACTTCCGGGTTGGGGCCCGGCCCGCCCTTGGGACTCTAAGAATCAGTCAATGGCTGGAGACAGACAATAGGTGACATGGTTCAAAATCGTTGTCAATGGCTTATGCAGATGTACTCAGTCTCTCTCTGTAATCTTTCATATTCCTTTCTACCATTACTCATTCATTCTGTTTCACTCTTATACTTGTCAAAACTCTATTGATTCTTTTCATTCGTTTTCTTGTCTACCTTTGTGTGCTATTTGGAACGTGGCAACTGGAACTTGCGCACTTCGGTGCCAAGTTCTATGTTGAATCCAGACAGAGAGACAGACAGTCTCAACAGTCTAGGTTATAACCGGAATAGAAAGTCTACAGGAATTATGCTTAAAAAAAGATATCCACAGATTTTTTAAAAAGTGCACCATATCAGAAATGAAATCGAGCGGTAGAGCGAAAATGAATGGGAACAGTTACCAATGTGGATTACGATATCATAAAACAGTCCTCTAGCAATGCCAAATCAGCAACTTTCAAAATGTCATGAATACTCAAATCAGAGAGTTCAATACATTATTAGAGGAGAAATCTCCATCTGAAGACGATGTGATCAGCAATCTAAAGTCAACAACAATCAATAAAGCAAAGTGAGTTATCAATGTCTCAACACATCTCTGCTAAGTCTTACAGAAATAAGTGTATTAGAAAAGGGACTAAATTTCAATGTAGCGGTGGACAAGCTGAAACCTGAGGATGTCATCTCTAAAATAGAAATAGCACTAAGTGGGATAGACAAAACAACGGCTGATGAAGTACGGGCACAATGTGCACTAACATTAAAACGGCAAAAACGAGGAAAACGTAACCTGACGAAACCAGAGATGGAAGCCCTAAAACACCTTAAGAACAACAAGGATATAGTAATGACAAGTTCAGACAAGGGAATTGCAACAATAATATGGGATAAATCAGACTATTTGGAGAAGGTGGATACTCACACACAAACAGGACCATAAGAGGAAATTAATAAATCAGTAGACACCGTTATAAATAAAATTAAGAAATCCACAGCGGATCTTATACGCCGAATGAAGCCGTTTCTAGGTGAGTTTAAGTAGTTTGATTTAATGCCCAAAATTAACAACCCCAGTAGGAAGTATGGTGTTGTTAAAGTTCATTAGTAAGGATACCCTATTAGACGTATATTTGATTTTAGAAATTCACCTGCCTATGAATTATCTAAATATCTAGCCATGGTATTAAATTCCCTAAAAAGCCACTCGAAATGTAGACTAACTAATTCTTATGAATTGAAACACAGATTAGATAATTTAAAATTATATAATGAAGAGAAAATGATTAGTTTTGAAATTGTCAGTTTATACACACGTATACCAATAAATATGGCTATGGAGACAGCCAGAAACGAACTCATTTCTGACCAAGAACTCGAAATAAGGATGAAAATGCACTTGAGGACATAATGCTGGGAGTGCGGCTATGCCTGACTTCCACAGTATTTAAATTCCAAAGGAAAATATACAAACAAACTGAGGAAGTTATTATGGGATCACCAATATCCCCGGTTGTAGCAGATATATTCATGGATAGGTGGGAAGACATAGCGATTGAAATGGTTACCCCCCCCCCTACAAAAGCATGGTGGAGATACGTATATGATACATTCACTGTACTTAGAACATAGGATATAGATAGATTTTTCGAACACATTAATTCAAAGCTGGAGGCAATTCAATTCACTTATGAATTGAAAAGTCAGGAAGGGGGACTTCCAACGTTAGATTGTAGCGTAGAAAGGAAAGAAGATGGGAAGTTAAACACTAGTGTTCACAAGAAACCCACACATTCAAACAGATATTTGGACTTCCGATCATCCCATCCTATGTCGGTAAGAATAGGATTAGTGAGATGTTTAAGTGATAGAGCACAAAAAACTAAATAGTACCAAGGGAAATCTAAGACAGGAAGTGAGACATATGAGAGAAGCTTTGAAACTTAATAATTACCCTGATAAATTGGTCAGGGAGTATGCGAGAAAATGTAAAAATAAAATTAATAACAGTAGTGATAGTGTTGATAATAATAATAATAATAATAATAATAATAATAATAATAATCATGACCAGTTTGACAAACAGGCACAGAATAATGACAACACAAACGATAATGCATTTAAGCAGTCATTAGTAGGACTTCCATACGAAGGAGGGATTTCGGAAACCTTAAGGAGATGTCTTAACAATGCAAGAATAAAAGTGGCATTTAATCACTCACAAACTCAATTAGAGACAGACTTTGTCGGTAAAAGGATCCTGTGGAACCAATTAAACAAAACAATTTTGTTTATCTAATAGCCTGCTGGAATGATTGTCAGGTGATATATATAAGTCTAAGTAGTAGAACGGGGTTATTCAGTCAGTCAGACTAGTGGAACACAAGAACCTAGCCAAATGTAGATTAGTTGACCCCCAATAAGATAGCACTACACTACATGCAATTACACACAACCATAAAATAGTATGATGGGATAAGATGACAGTTTTAAAATCTAAAGTAGCAGGATGGAGGGAGAGATCGATAACGAAAACTCTATTTATCGAATCAACTAAAAATGTGTGTAGTAGGAATGATTCAACACTTGTCCCAGACATCTGGAAAACTCTATTACCCCTACGACAAGTAGGAAAGAATAAAGAAAACTATAAAACGAAAGTTCTGAAGTTGTGTGGTTATAGTTGAAGGTATAACTATGAACAATAAATTGTGTGAAATGTCATCCAGTAAATGGTAGTTTCTTATAAACAAATTAATAGGGAATCAATATGAAAATTACTGCATAATCTGTGAAAAATACTAAATTAATGCCATAGCAAGTAGAGAGGGTGAATGAAACGCTTCAATACCAAAAGTCACTGATCAACAGAGTTCTCAAATATATATGCTACACTACATCTTTGCGTCTTAGTTTAGCTTCACCTGCCGAGACTTCAGGGGTATAGTCGTACTCTGTGTTTTGTTAGCGTATATCAACACACTTGTTCCTGTGCAGCTAAATGCAAAGGTTGTACCACGACCTTTTACAAATGTAGTTATCACTGTGGTTAACTACGGAAAAATAAGAATCAGAAGATCTATACTTGGGCGACTAATACTTTTACCTCATGCATTTTCAACAGGCAGTCCCTTAAGTGTGACACATAATGCTGAAGAAAGTCTCTGAAAGAGGTTAGAACAAATGAATCCCTAGCTAATTATATCGCAAATAATAATAATAATTTGCTTTATTCCAAAACAGTACTTGTGATACAGAATGGAATTCTCAGCACTTTTTTTTAAAAGTCCTATACTTCAAAACGTTTCATCAGATTACTATTTATATCTCCTGGTAAGTACGTGAACTGCTTGTAATTTCAATTGCTACACTTTTACATAAAAGTATAAATACTTTCTGTACTGTATTTTTCTTCACAACCCTATGATCACACAACAAGTGAAAAGGTAAATAAATGACAACTATTGGTGCTGTTGTATTTTTTAAGCAAGATGATACAATTTCAGTTCTTATTGCCTTTTCAGATAATCTTGAAAGTAGCCATCAAGCACAGGGAAAAAAGATTATTTGAAATAATCGCCAGTCAGAGAATGTTCGTGAAAACGTGTGGGAGGGCAGGCACTCCTTTTGAAAAGTTGGATTAATAAATGACGTTCATGAAGTAAGTAGAACAAGGAAGCAACAGATGCGATTGAAAATGTAGAAACAATAGAAAGTGGTGTTGATTTCTTCCCACGTTTTGCACCCATCTCATCTGTTCAAAAGCGCCTAAATATCCCATGGGCATTCTCTAGCTAGGCATATCGCCTCACAAATGTTAGTTTTCGCACTCCTACAGTTTTATTTAGACCCTCATATGAAACGTATATACATATATGCATACATTTAATACCACGACAGAGTTACTAAATCATACTATTAAAGTCAAATACTTACCAGCTTTAAACCACACCGTTGATGGTTCTTTGATACAATCCAGAAAGAGGTCTACTAGACGCAATTGCCGGAGATGCGGTCCGTTTCTTGAATCGTAACAAAAGTTTGCTAGATTGGCTAAAATCTGGTACACAGAAAATACTCCTCTGAGTCAATATTCACGAACCTGTTCCTTGTATTCACTGATCGAAGTTTCTTGGTATTCAGTCAACAGCTCTTGCAGATACTGAAGACGCTCTAAACTCCCAGGAAGTGCTTTATTTCCAGATTTAAATTTCTGTGCGCTACGAAATGTCTTTTTTCCCTTGAAAACCATGTGTTTTCAAGACATTTGTAGCGAAATACTGAGAGATGGCGCTTACGTACAATGTCCAATGTTCAGATTCAGATTTATTGGTTGAGGATAGAAGGCTTGGAGCCTATGTTAATCCTTTTCTAGTAAATTTATGTGGTTTAAGAAGCCCTTCGTGAATGAATCAGTTGAGATTGCAGACACTACTTCTTCTGGGATAGAGATGTTTAATTGATGACAGAAGGACTGCCAATCATTTTTCACCTTTTCCCTATTATTTGTACTTTTCTGTCCCAATTTTGGTTTGGTTGACTGAAAACGCAGACCTCGCTTCTTCTTCAGTGACAGTTACTCACTTGTTACGATGACCTGTAAATCATAGTAGTTTAAGTCCCCCTAGACTTTCGAACATCTCCATTTTGTCCTTTGAGATGTTTCAGCCTGATAGGGCTGACGGAGAAATCCAATCTTTTGTCATTTCTTCAAATTCTGAACTGCTTTTTTAAATCTCTGTGTTTAGGGTATGCTAAGAAATATTTTATCTCGTTCCTTATATGTGTGTCACCTTTAGGATAAAATCTGGCTGCTTACCTGGATTTCCACGTTTTAGACCTCACAAAAAATGTGCACATGGTGGTCGGCAAATCAGTGATAATCTTACTTATCTGAAGGACTCTAAGCATCAGACAGTGATTCATTTTAACGAGTAGGTCAGCATACATTTGAGATTATGGAAGAGGTGTTTCTTCCATGTGCCAACATTTGCACGACTGATGCAAATGAGTGATGGGATGAACAGATCCTTTGTACCTCAACTTGGCCCAAATTTTTGTTTCCTTGACTTTTGTCAGACATGAGAAATTTCCCCGAGAAAAGTGCTCTATTTTCGTCAGGAAGCCATTGTCTTCCATGTAGGCAATAAGTCCAAACTCATCCAACTGTTTTTTTCATAACACAAATCCTTTTCTTATTTACCCAGACGTGGGCCTTCTGTGTACAACTTACATAAATATGAGTTTTGAATACCGTTTATTACTTTCAGAGACTCTTGTTGACTTAGATCAGGTAAACTTTGTAGGCATGTTAGAAGTTACTCTGCAGGTTTACTAAGTCAATCCCTTAGATTTTAACTAGATAAAGAGGAATCGGAGAAATAAACACAGCATCGTAATACTCTGTATAAACCGCTGCTTTTAGTTTATTCAGATTCAGATTGGGAAATAAGTGCATGAATAGTAAAAACTCCTTTTAAGGTTCTTCTGAAAATTATTGGCGTACAGTTTGAGGGGTAATGTTTGGATTATCCATTGTCGTAAGGAGTGCTCTCTGCTCATACGCAATGTTTAGGCCTAGAAATAAGAATTTAATCCATTTGCCCCTGTGATCAAAGATTTTAAGTTAATTTGGTTGGATAACTTCTAGCCTTACACTAAACTTGGGTCTTACACAATTAGATTCCCTATACTATGCAAACAGTCAAATTACCTTATTTAACCTCTGATACTGGCTTTTACGCGTACTTATAATCCACATAGCGACATATTTTCCACGAACCAGTTTAAGCGAAACTGACTTCTTTGGGCTTGCTTCTTGGTTGTAAGGAAAAGGCTCATTTTCTCCAGTAAACTTCAGTGCACTTTGTACTGACACCCGACTGCCGCAGCTTTGGTTGACGCGAAAGGGGTTGGTGTGGATGTTGGTTTTGTGGTTTCCAGTATTCAGTGATTTAAGGCCATGTTTCTGACGTGAATGGTGTTAATTCTTCAACCCGTCAGTCGTTCGGTGTGGTTGAAAGAGAGTTACCAACAATATATAGTGTACATTATATAGGCTTGGAAAGAAAAAGTACAAGTAAACAGATAGATTATGAGGTTTAATAACCAGATAAAAATGACTGAGTGAATAGGTATGGTGGTCAGAACAGTGAGACTGGAGAGAACGGGAGTTGGCAATGGACTGCTTTAGATGATATTCTTCAGTAGTGCTGTGAATCCATTTATACGCAGTCCTCGCTTTGCCTCATGGTTACCGAACCTCATCTTAGAGCTTTCCATGATAGGCGCAGTGACCACAACATCTGGCCAAGAGGTATGGCAAGCCCCAATCGAAAAGAAGTTGGAGTTTACTGGATTCTTCGCTCTCTGAGCACGTTCCTTCAGTGTTGATACCAAGAAGCTAGTTTTTATTTAATGAAGAGATACCTTTAGGTGATTTCAGCCATTTATAATCTCGCAGGCGTTAACCGGGTCGCTCCTAACTCGACGTCAGCTAAGTGTGAGAAAACTTGATTTCCTCAACTTTTCATTCTAATGTTTATTCGGTGGATTCATCACCCTCCACGTCACCCCACTTTGAAACTATCAAAAAGGGTCGCGTCCTTTCTAAGTAACGGTGAGCAATGACGTAGAGCACTACAATGTGTGGCTTTCGGTATGTGTTATAAAATCTTAGAAAAAAGGCTTCAGTAGTGACTTGCCCGATTTCCCGTGCCTGTTGTGTTCGAGTTCATGTGGCCGCATCATACTTACCAAGAGTCACGTCAAAAAGACTCCTCAATTACACCCTCATGACTTACAAAACAAGTTTTCATAGCACAAACAGTAACTTACTCTCATTTCCTGGGAGCCGAGTTTAACAGCTAATAGCCGTGTTGAGCTAACCTATGTTATGCGAGTCGGACGAAGAAAGACAATAACAGAGATAGCCCAGAACCCGGTGGAGCCGTCTGAGGGGAGTATCGTCTTCACCGCTGTGCATCACGCGTGTGTTTCTTGCAGGGTGTGCCCGTCTCCACCTACGAAGCACTATATATCGCCATGGAGATGAAGGGCCTTAGTTCCAGTGACCTCACCATTTACGTGACTGCCACTAACCTGTCAGGTTTCATTCATGTATTGGAGGTTCTCTTCACAGCTAGGACTTGCGAGAGTAGCAATAGATTCTGAGCATCTTCAGCAATATCCATTACTGCTCTTAATAGGAGCGATATATCATAAGTTGCCTGAGCAACCTTTTACAGTCTGAAAGCTTTACAGGCTGAAGGTCAAACCGTGGTTTGCTGCACAAACCAGACCACTGCTCCTGGTCAAACAGTGCTTTCCGTTCAAGTAAACTGCTGTAACATACCATTGCGTTAAACGGAATGAAGCAGTTTGGCAAAGGGACCTCGGACTTTCAGTCTTTGGTAGCTTATCCTGCCTTCTAGGTTCATTAAACTTGGCCAGTTCCAGGGTGCCACTACTCTGAGGCACACTCCTAAGACCATCTTTGTTAGTTGATGCAGGTGGTTTTTCCCAATGCTGGAGTTCCGTGCTGCTTGCACCACTGTGTTTGTGGGGATCATTTTAATAGAACGTTTATCGGGTATGGCTTGAGCTTTTATCGATTTATACTGCCAGTTGGGTGGGCTAGAATGTCTCGCTTAAAGTTTTCGGCTACCTTTGTGTGTGGTACACTGCGCTGTGTTTTCCGATGAAACTATTTGGTGTGACTGGGTCAAAGCAACTGAGTTAGCACATGTATCAAGAATATGGGTTATTTCGCATGAACTCATTATATGCTCTCGGCACTTCTTTGTCAAATCGTCAGTACACCCATTGTTTGAAAAAACTGCATAATTCTGAGTTGCTTTCGCAAACGACAGAACTTCAAAGCTGACAGTCATCACCATCTCGAAGGTTTCCTATCATCCTTGTTGGGCACAACACGTTGGCTTCCTATGGAGATAGGTGTGGTATCGTTTCCACCTGGTATGACATGCACAGTTACGTTATTGAGCTGTGAGGGTGCAAGCATACTCATAGGGCGAAGAATGCACACTCCGATCTTTAGAATTGGTATGAGAAACAGCGTCAGTTTTACTAAGTTATAGCTTCTGATGGTGGCCTTACACATGTTCGGCTTCATTGTCGTGAAAGTTCATGAGTATGTATCTTAAGAGCATCTTCGATTTGGGAGTCTGTGATGCCACCTGCTCAGCAAGTGTTAGGACACTGGAGTACCTCAGGCCTAAGTCGATGATACTTAGGAGTCTGAGCAGCTTAGCAGATTGAAGTGTTTATTTTACGTTGATTGAGGGTGCGCCGAAATAGATCCTGCCACATTTTTTCAAATTGAACGGTAGATTCCACGAATATTACCAGGCATTCAATTTATCCAATTCATTCTGCACAATGTTCTGGAAGTACCCAAAGTCATCACATTACAATGTATAAGCTAACTTTGGGTCCTCTGCAATAATGAACCCTTTAACACGTGAGAAGCAAGTACATATGCCGTTGATATTAAAACCTAAACAGGAGGGGCCCCATAACGGTAACATAGAGGAAATGACTTCTAGCGTCGTGTAAATATACGAAATATTCATCTCAAGTCAAGAGAAAATAAAAACAAAGTCATACACAGAGAAGCAAATGCAGATATTAAAGGTGGCTTTAAATACACTGCAATCTATAGGCTTTACCGCGAAAGGCTGAACTCTCGTAAGACGGACATAACATCCATTTGGGAAGATGATGAGACTGCTAGTAACACTAAAATAATTCGCCAACTCCAATATCCAATATCGTTTTTACGATCTAGTATAAACCAATTTGATTTCTTTGTGCTCGCCTCTTGATTGTGAGGTAGAGGTTCCTGATCTTCGGTAAACTCCTCAATTCCTACTTCTCGCAGTCCTACACTTACGATTATAATGCATCACCATAAACTCCATTCCCTCTACGTTCTCAAAATCCCTAGAAATTGTCAGGTTTTCCCTAGATAATATTAAGAAGGCAATTGATTCTTTTAAAAGTTCAAGCAATCTTGGTCCTGATACGTTCTCATCAACCTTTTTTGAAATACGGTGGTGAAGACATCTCCATTCTTCTACTTAAAGTGTTTCCTACCTCTCTATCCACTGTGATATATCCAGATGCACGAAACCCATGCACATTACCCCTAGGCATTGGTCGGGCTATCATTCAAGTGTCATGAATTAGGGAACCATAAGCCTAACTTCCGTTACCTCAAGGGTTCTGGAA